CCTGGTCTCAACCCGGTGTTGAAAACACCCTTGCCAGTGCGTCCTCGCCTCTGGTCCCGTGCGGTGCCCGCGGCCGAGGGCGGGCGTGGTGGAGTTGTGGGCTGAGTGTGGGTCGTCATGCAGAGACTCCGTTGTTGGAGCCAGGTGATGTGTGGCGGGTTGGGCTGCCTCCTTCCTCCTTGGCGTGAGGGGAGAGGCTGGGCTCCAAGTTCCCGCGTTGCCACTTTCAGGCTGCTCTGGGGCCGTTGTCATCAGTTTCTGTCACCTCAGATGCAGCCTCAGTTTTCCCACCTGCAAAATGGGGTGTGCTTGTCCATCTCAGCCTTCCCCTCACCCTTCTTTGTGCACCCTCTCCCGGGGCCGCTCTCGTTTTGTGCTGCATGGTGGAATCACCTGGAAGCTTTTCTTCGGTTTTGATTTGGTTCAATTCCTGGCAGTGCTCGGGGCTTGTTTCTGGCTCTGTGCTCAGGGATCCACTCCTGATGGGGCTCAGGGGACTATACGGGATGCTTGGGGTTGGACCCGGGTCACTGTGTGCAAGACAAGCACCATTGCTACTGTACTTTCTCTCTGGCCCCCCAATGAGTATATTTAAGCCTTTTGGAGAATTGGAAAAGAAGTAAAAGGAAAGTAAAGACTGTCTATATCTTGGGGTGTTTCCCCAGTTTTTATGTTTTATAATTATTTTAATTCTTACAGTTTTAAAAACATGCTATTCGGGGCTGGAGCAATAGCACAGCGGGTAGGGTGTTTGCCTTGCACACGGTCAACCCAGGTTCGATTCCCAGCATCCCTTATGGTCCCCTGAGTATCGCCAGGAGTAACTCCTGAGTGCAGAGCCAGGAGTAACCCCTGTGCATCTCTGGGTGTGACCCAAAAAAGAAAAAGAATGCTATTCATGTAAAGCATTTCATTAACCATATGTTGTAAATGATTTCTTGTCTTTAAGTGTTATTTTATTTTACTTTTTTTGGGGTTTTGGACCACATCCTGCAATGCTCAGGGCTGCTGTGGGCTGGGCTCAGAGATCACTCCTGGTGGTGCTTAGGGGACCATAAGGGTGCTCCCGGGTCGGCTGTGTGCAAAGCGAATACCTGATGTGCTGTAATATTTCTCTAACCCCAAGGAGTGCTCTTTTGGTCTGTTTGTTTTGGGGCCACATCCAACGATGCTCAGGGTTACTGTGGGCTCTGCACTCAGGGATCTCTCCTGGCGGTGCCTGGGGGACCCCATGGGCTGTTGGGGATTGAATCTGGCTCACTGCCTGCAAGGCCAGCGCCCTCCCCACTTTACTACCTCTCCGGTCCTGGATCGCTTATTTTTAATAAGGCCACATCCAGCTGTGCTGGGTTGGGGGCCCTGGGGTGCCTGGTGGAACTCAGGCCTCACACATCCAAGTCCTGTGCTCTGCCACCTGAGCACAGCCCAGACCTCTCAAACAGAAACAGCCTGCAGGGCCCCAGGATGGGCCTGGGAGAGGCTCTTTGGCCTCTGGATGGCGCTATTGAGCACCCGCTGTGTTGTAGTAATGGGAGTCTTGGGATCGTCTTTCCTCGTGGCGTTTCCGGTTAAGGACTTCTATGAACAGAAACTAGTTGAAGAGATGAGTTGTGTGTGTGTGTGTGTGTGTGGTACTGGGGTTTGAACTCAGGGTCTCACATATATGAAAGGCAAGTGCTCTAGGACTGAGCTACACCCCTGGTCCAAAGTTAGATTTTAGGGCCAGAGAGATAGTACAGGAGAGGTGGCAGCTGACCCAGTTTGCATCCCTGGCACCACATCTGATCATGGAACCAGTGAGCACTGCCTGATGTGGCTCCGAACTTCTGCCAAACAAACAAAATCACAGAGAGATGGTACAGAGTGGACGGCACTTGCCTTGCATGTGTTCAACCCAGGTTCAATTCCCAGCACCCCATATGGTTCCCCGGCCCCTGCCAGGAGTGATTCCTGAGTGTGGAGCCAGGAGTAACCCCTGAGCACCACCAGATATGGCCTCAAAACTGAAATACAGGGGCCGGAGTGATAGAACAGTGGGTAGGGCATTTGCCTTGCATGTGGCTGACCCGGGTTCGATCCCTGGCATTCCATACGGTCCCCTGAGTACTGCCAGAGGTAATTCCTGAGTGCAGAACCAGGAGTAACCCCTGAGCATTGCCAGGTGAACCCAAAAAGCAAAAACAAAAAGGAAAAAAAAAACCCTGAAATACATCCCTTCGTCTCCCACAAAAAGATCAGTTTTTGGGAGCCAGAGAGATAGTACAGAGGGTAGGACGTTTGCCTTGCACGCGGCTAACCTGGGTTCGATCCCTGGCATCCCATAGGGTCCCCCAGCTCTGCCAAGAGTGATTCCTGAGTGAAGAGCCAGGAGTAAACCTCTGAGCATCTCTGGGTGTGACCCAAAAAGCCAAAAAAAAAAAAATCAGTTTTTAACTTGCATTAAGTTAATGGCTATGAGGTAGGATATGTAATTTTATATTAATGATTATACATATTTAGTATATTTTAAATGTTAAATTTAAATATTTGAAAACTAAATATTTAATTGTATTATGTTGGTGATAAATATTGTTCCTTTAAAAATGATACTTATCTTCTATTTAAATTTTTAGTTGAGTTTTATTTACTTTTTATTTATTGTTTCAGAGCCAAATGGTATACCACCATTTTCCAACTTACTTTCTTGATAGTCCCCGTGTCTGCTCACTTGGGCCCTTCTGGACCTCTGTGCCGATGTGGGCAGGGGCTCATTCACTGGGCACCTGACTAGTGGGTGTTCGTGTTATTTTTCCAATGTGACTTTCGTAGGCAGAAATTCTGCTCAGTTCACTTGCTCTGGAGCGTGGCTGTTACTGGCCCTTTGAAACGCGGCCTTTGTGAGGAGATAAAGATGTTTTGTTCTGAAAAGCCTGTGGGTGCAGACTCAGTTTGGCCCTTGTTATCACGTGGGGTGTCGTGGGGGAGTGCCCTGGTCACTGGGCCAGCTGGAGCCCCCCTGCCCCCAACCTCCCCTGGAGAGGCAGTTTCATCTGCCATACCTCTCCTGCTGGCCCACCCAGGGTCCAGCCTCGGGGCAGCGGGATCCAGCGGGACTTCTGGGACAGAGCCAGGCCAGGGTCCTGCTGCCCCTGGAGATTTCCTGTGGAAGGAGAGTCACTGGGTCACTATGGTCACTATGCGGTGGTTGCTGCAGTGACTCAGCTTAGCTCTTTTTTTTTTTTGCTCTTTTGGTCACACCCAGCGATGCCCAGGGATTGCTCCAGGCTCTACATTCAGGAATAACTCCTGGCGATGCTGGGGGACCCTGTGGGATGCCAGGGATCGAACCCAGGTTGGCCGCGTGCAAGGCAAAAGGCACCCCCCACCCCCACCCCCACTGTGCTATCACTCTGGCCCTCGGCTTAGCTCTGATGGCGAGGAAGCAGCCAGGAAAAGCTGAGGCCTGCTCCTGTCATTCCCTGTCACGGAACGTGCCCTTCTGACACTGCCCTTCACCCTTAGGATATGTTCAGTGCAGTCTTAATCTGCAGGATGCAGAAACGAGCCCTCGAGGTGGACATGGACTGTGTTTCTCTTAATGCTGATTTATCTGTTGGGGGGAGGCTTGGGCCACAGCTGGTGGGACTCAGGGATCCCTCCTGGCGGCGTTCAGGGGACCGGAGGCAGTGCCAGGAAGCAAACCAGGGTCAGCTCATCCCCCCTGTACTCTTACCTTACCCCCTGTCTTCTTTGGCCCAATACCCCCATTCAACTTGTGATCTATTCCTAAGCACAGAGCAAGGAGTCCACCCTGAGCACTGCCAGGTGTGGTCCAAAAAAATGAAAATCAAAATTTATTATATTTATTTTAAAATTTTAATGTTATTGAGGTAGTATAGCTTATGCTATTATTCACAACACTCCCCTGTGAGTGTGTATGTGAGTGTGTGTCTAAGTGTGTGTGTGTTGTGCATGCTTGGCTTTTCTTTAATCATCCTCAACCCAGCAGGGCTCAGGAGCTCTGGGGACGCCCCCCCCCCCCCAATGCCCCCACCATTCTTGACTGCCCCAGCTGGCGGTTCAACACAAAGGCCCAAGGCTGCTTAGCCCTGCAGTGCCAGGGTACCCCAGCCACCCCGATGGTGCGCTGGGACCATGTGGTGTGGGGAAATGAAGCCGGTTGAGTGCATGGATGGGCCCTAACCACTCTGCCTGCTCCCGGCCTCATCTCACTGTATTTCACATGGGCTCTCGAAGTTTGTAGGGTTATCTTCATTCTTTTTTTTTTTTTTTTTGGCTTTTTGGGTTACACCCAGAAATGCTCAGGGGGGTTCCTCCTGGCTCTGCACTCAGGAATTACTCCTGGCGATGCTTGGGGGACCATATGGGATGCCGGGGATTGAACCTGGGTCGGCTGCGTGAAAGGCAAACACCCTACTCGCTGTGCTAGCAGTCCGGCCCCAGGATTCTCTTCTTGCGGCTTAAAAAAAAAAGTTGCTTCTGGGGGTGACTGGGAAGAAGATAGCTTAGGGGCCAGGGACACAGGCCATGCCTGTGTGAGCCTCTGAGGTCAAGCCCTGGCACTGCTGGGGTGGCCCTAGTGGTCCCTAGCACCCCTGTACCCTGAGGCTGAAACATTGGCATGGGGACTGAGTGTCACTGGCAGAGGCCCCCAAACACGTGCCTGGGGAGTCCCCCCCACTGTCCCTGCAGGTCTGGAACACAGATTTATGATGGTTTTGTTTTGGGGTCGCACCTGGTGATGCTCAGGGATTACTACTGACCCTGCAATCAGGAATCACTCCTGGCGGTGCTCGGGGGACCATATGGGATGGCAGAAATTGAGCCTGGGTTGGCTATGCTCCAGCCCCAGAGGCTTGTGAAGTTGGACTGTTCGCGGATGGCAGGGCAGGGACAGGGGCCTTGAGCTGGTGAGGGGTGGTTGCTCTGTGCTCTGAGTCCTTTGCATGCTTCTGGACGCACCCGGCCCTGCCCCTAACCGTCTGTTATTGCTTTTTCAGCCAGAGCCCAATCCCGGAGACCTGATCGAGATTTTCCGCCCTTTCTACAGGCACTGGGCCATCTACGTGGGCGACGGCTATGTGATCCACCTGGCCCCCCCAAGTAAGGGCTCCCAATGGGGGTGGGGGTTAGAGGGACCTTGACAATCTCTTTACTCCCCTGCTGGCAGTGAGTGTCTGGGTACCACGAGAAGGCAATTTGTTGGGGTTTGCTGGCTTTCAGACTTTGCTCCTGGGAACCCCAGAGGTGTCTAGAGAGGGGTTTCAAGCTGGTTTTTGTGTGTGTGTGTGTGTGTGTGTGTGTCCCACCCAGCTACTCTGAGGGGCTACTCTGGTTCTGCACTCAGAAATTACTCTTGGCAGTGTTCAGGGGACCATACGCCCTCCCCACTGTACTATCTCTCTGACTCTTCCAAGTGTATTTTATTTTATTTATTTATATTTTTGCTTTTTGGGTCACACCCAGCAATGCACAGGGGTTCCTCCTGGCTCTGCGCTCAGGAATTACCCCTGGTGGTGCTCAGGGGACCATACGGGATGCTGGGAATCGAACCTGAGTTGGCTGCGTGCAAGGCAAACGCCCTACCTGCTGTGCTATTGCTCCAGCCCCAAGTGTATTTTTTTAAATGCAGGTTTTTTTTTTCCATTTTGGGTCACACCCAGCTATGCTCAGGGGTTCTCCTGGCTCTGCACTCAGGAATTACTCTTGGCAGTGCTGGGGGACCATGTGGAATGCTGGGGATCGAACCCAGGTTGACCGCATGCAAGGCAAACACCCTACTCTCTGTGCTATCACTCCAGCCCCAGCTTTTGTTTTTCATTCTCTCCCAGTTGGGGGCCACACCATGTGGTTCTTAGAGCTTACATCTTGTTCTGTGCTCAGGGATCACTCCTAGTGGTGCTCAGGGGACCTCATACCCAGGGATTGAATCTGCGTTCGGCTGCCTACAAAGCAAGCACCCTACCCACTGTACCATCTCTCTGGACCATATGATTCAGCTTTTCCAGTTTAAGCAATAAAAATGAAGAGTTCCTGGGAATGGGTTCAGGCTGCCCGATTTGAGGAAGTCACCAACATCCAGGGGTCACCGAGCCCTGCCTGGCCCACACAGGGGGATGGACATCAGTCATCACAGGATACTGGGGTGGGCCTGGGTCCTCAGAATCTGGGGAAGAAGCGGACCCACGTGCCCTGTGAAGTTCCAGGCCCCCCACCGCAGTTCCTTACATTTGAGAAGTTTGTCGATTTCCTGGGTGAAGTTTTCATCCTGGAGGTTCAGCACCAGGTTGTTGGCAGTGAGGTAGATCCGGTTCCGGGAGTCGGCCACGGTCTTGGAGATGTTCTGGGCGGCCCGGATCCTGCGCAGCTGCAGGTAGCCCGGGTGCTTACTCAGCGCTGCCCCCAGCATCTGGGCGGCCTCCGCCTCGCCCTCGGCCTGGATGATCTTCTGCCGTTGGTCCTGCTTGGCCTTCTCCACCAAGAACTGGGCCCGCTGGGCCTCCTGCTGTGCCACCTGTTTGGCTTCCACGGCGGCCATGTACTCGCGGCTGAAGCTCAGCTCGGTGATGGCCACGTCGTCCAGGATGAGGTTGAAGTCCTTGGCCCTCTCTGTCAGCTGCTGCCGGACCAGCAGGGACACCTGGGCGCGCTGGGTGATGAGCTGCGAGGCGTTGAACTTGGCCACCACGCTCTTGAGCACCTCGTTGACGATGGACGGCAGCACCCGCTCCTCGTAGTCCAGCCCCAGGCGCTGGTACATGCTGGGCAGCTCCAGGGCGTCGGGTCGCGACAGCACCCGCAGGGAGATGTTCACCATCTGCAGATCCTTGGAGCCCGTGGGGGAGGACAGTTTCCGGGGCCTGGCCCGAATGTCGTAGATGATGGGGTACTGCAACCAGGGGATCCGGAAGTGGAGACCCTCGGCCAGGATGGGGTCCTGCTGCACCCCGCCGATGCGGTTAAAGAAAATGGCCCGGTGGCCGCCTTCCACGGTGAACGTGGACTCATGGATGCCGTAGGCCACGACGCCTGCACCCAGCAGGAGCTTCATCGCTGTGCCCATGCCCTGGGGCCCGGTGGGCAGGCGCCCCACCAAGTCCTTTATGTTCTGGGCCATGGTGATCCTGCACCAGCCGTCAGGGAGGGCTGCTGCCAAAGCCTCCCCCAATCTGGGATGCGGTTCTTGTTCTCCAAGGTATTTTAGACCCGTGGGTTAGTTCAGAGCCAGGTCCCCATCTCCCTCCAGGTCAGGATCCTGGGAAGAGCACCGGTGTCTGAGCTGCCCATTCGGTGGGGTGTCCAGTTCTACCCTCCAGCCTTGGGGTCCTTTATCTGTCACTGGAGCGAGGCAGACTTGACCCGGGCAGTTGTGAGCATCCGCCAGTCCTTCTTAATGTGAGCCGAGGAAGGCAGACACAGAGGCACGTGTGTCACCTCAGGGGATGTGAAAAATGAGTCCCATCACGGGACAATGACCAAATCTAGAATGTTCTGTGCCCCCCCCCCCCACAGGCTTCGTCCAGCCTCTTTAAGACCCCGTTTCCTGCCCCTACCAGATCTCACTGCATTTCCCATGTCACCTGCCGACGATTGTCTGGTCTGTTCTAGAATTTTGTGTGAGAATTTCGTCCCCTCTGTGGCTTCCACACCTGGCTTCTATTCCCATGCGCTGTGGGCCCCACCAGTGAGGTTTTTTCTTTGGGGGGGGGTCACATCTGGCGCTCAGGGATTACTCCTGGCTCTGCACTCAGGAATCACTCCTGGCCATGCTTGGGGGACCTTATGGGATGCCAGAGATCGAACCCAGGTCGGCCACATGCAAGGCAAATGCCCTACCTGCTGTGCTATCACTCTGCCCCCCCCCCCCCCCCCCCGCCAGTGAGTTTGAAGCACTAAGCTTCTCATTGCTCCATTTTCCTTTAGGGGAATATGTTTCTAGTTGCCATCAATCCGTCCCGTGGATCCATAGTGGGTTGGTTCGACTGGGGCTGTGGTTGAATGTAGCTGCTACAGGTATTCTGGAATTGAGTTTTGCCCACTTCTTCTTCGTGGGTTTTTTTTTTCTTTTTTCTTTTTGAGTCATACCCAGAAATGCACAGGTATTACTCCTAGCTCTGCACTCAGGAATTACTCCTGGTGGTCCTCGGGGGACCCTATGGGATGCTGGGAATCAAACCCAGGTCGGCAGTGTGCAAGGCAAACACCCTACCCACTGTGCTATCGCTCCAGCACCTGCCCCTTGTTTACTTTTAAGGAATGAGCTTTTTGATGAGCGGTCTTGCTTTGGGCTCACTCAGAAATCAGAAGCCGGGATAGTTCATGTGTTGTATTCTCCACCCCGAAGGATTGGAAACCCCAGTAGCTGCACACACACATTTGGCCTTTTCTTCTGTTAAAATGTAGCAGGTAGGGGCTGGAGAGATAGCACAGCGGGTAGGGCATTTGCCTTGCACACGGCTGACCCAGGTTCGATTCCCAGCATCCCATATGGTCTCCTGAGCACCGCCAGGAGTAACTCCTGAGTGCAGAGCCAGTAGTAACCTCTGTGCATCGCCAGGTGTGACCCAAAAAGAAAAAAAATGTAGCAGGTAGCCTTGCTTTTATTTTAAAATACAGCCCCTACAAGTGGGCCCTGGACCTGCTCTGTGGTCCGCCCTACTCGCGTCCACGCTCCCCGACATGGCAGCCTTGGTCTCCCCTGCTGGCCCCTCCCTATCCACTGCCTTGGCCAGGCTGTTCTCTGGCTCTTCCAGAGCAGCTTGTTTCAAGGTGACCGGAAGCCCTCCACGGCTCTACAGAGCTGACGTCAATGTTCCGCTCACAGCAGGCTGACATGAGTGACTTCTGTCCGCTCTTCCCCTGGCATCTGTTTTCTTCCTCTCCTGCTGAGTTCCTCCTTCTCCTTTCCCACGTCCCTAATCCTTGCTCAGCCAGTGACCTCCACACATGCCCAGCTTCCAGTTCCATTTGTCAGTGTCCCCTATGCTTCAGATCTGTGCAGTCCTGAGGGACTTAACAGGTGGGGATGGGGAGCGGGGGACACACCTTTTCTGAGAAGGGCATCAGTTGGTGAGCCCACTGTGTGGGTGCATCCTAGTGTCTACCACAGCAACCCTGATGGTCTAGCCTGTTACACGCCTGGGCTGAGAGATGGTCTCGCCTGCTACACACCTCGGGTAAGAGATGGTCTAGCCTGCTACACATGTGGGATGAGAGATGGTCTAGCCTGAGACACAGTTGTCCTGTAGAGATGGTCTAACCTGCTACACATCTGGGCTGCAGAGATGGTCTAGCCTTCCATACATCTTAGCTGCAGAGATGGTTTAGACTGCTACAGATCTGGGCTGCAGAGATGGTCTAGTTTGCCACACATCTGGGCTCTAGAGATGGTCTAGCCTGCCACACATCTTACCTGCAGAGGTGGTCTAGCCTGCTACACATCTGGGCTGAGAGATGCTGTCAGGCTGTCACCTGCCCAGACCACCATCATCTGTGTGATCTGTCATTGACCAGATTGTCATTAAGTGATGCATGGCTATAAATTGATTTGGGGAGTTTGCTAGACCTGATGGTCCTTGGGGGTTACTCCTGGCTCACTGCTCAGGGGTTGCTCCCAGCAGTGCTCAGGGATGCTCTGATGCCAGGGATGGTACCTGGCACCAGTCCTTTGAGCTCTCCCCAGCCCTGATCACCTCCTGACTTCTTGGCACCTCTACTTGGGTCTGACTGGCACAATGAACTTGACCTGCTCCAAGTGGACAGCCCTTTCACGAGATAGTCCAGCTGCTCGGGCTCCAATCCAGGACTCAGCCTCTATTCTTTCCACCCCATAACTGTTGGAGTACACGGAGCTTAGGTTTATCAGAATCGCACTCATCACAGTGCTCCCGAGTCACTCCCATTGCTTTGTCAGTCTGTAACCACTTCTATGCTCTCTTCCCCAACCAATTTGTAAGGTCTCATCCTTCTTAGACACTGAAGCTGTATTGTAAGTTAATATTGCCTTTCTCCTCTCCTTATGTCTTTTGAGCAGTTTGCCTTAATGCAATGTCCTTTTGTATGGATACAGGAAGCCAATTAATTCCTAAGTTATAAAGCATAATATTAATTAATTGTCTTCCTGTATCCATACAAAAGGACATTGCATTAAGGCAAACTGCTCAAAAGACATAAGGAGAGGAGAAAGGCAATATTAACTTACAGTACAGCTTCAATGTCTAAGAAGGATGAGACCTTACAAATTGGTTGGGGAAGAGAGCATAGAAGTGGTTACAAGCAGACAAAGTAATGGGAGTGACTCGGGAGCACTGTGATGAGTGCGATTCTGATAAACCTAAGCTCCGTGTACTACAACACATAACTAGCCCATCTCTTTTTGGGGGAGCCACACCCAGAGATCCTTAGGGGTTACTCCTGACTCTGCACTCAGTAATTACTCCTGGTAGTGCTCGGGGGACTATATGGGATGCCGGGGATCAAACTCAGGTCTGCCTCATGCAAGGCAAATGCCCTCCCCACTGTCCTATCTCTCTGGCCCCTCAGTGGTTTTGTCTTCCAACATACCTCACGTCTGATCACTCCGCTTCTTACTACCTGCATTGCCACCCCCAGGTGGGAGGGCATCAGCTACCATCCTGCCTCCGCAGTGCTACCTGTGTAGCCTCCGTTAATCTTCTCTCTGAAAATCATCTTATTTTGTAAGTGTCCATCATCCAGGTCCTTCTGCTAGAAGGGGACCTACTTTGGTGGTGGTGGTGGTAGCGGTGGGGGTGGTTGGGTCATACCCAGTGGTGCTCAGGGGCTATCCTGGCTCTGTGCTTGGGAGTGACCCTTAGCAGTTCTCAAAGAACTGTATGTAGTGCCAGGGATTCAAATGAGAACAATGGGCAGTACTACATGTGCAAGACAAGTGCTTTTCTCTGACTCTGTCCCTCCAGCCCAAGAATGCCAGCTGCTCTAAGGTGCTTTGTGTCCAGTCCATAGTGCTATTTTTCAGCACCTTGGACAGGGCCGGCCCACAGTAGGGCCTCCAAGGACTCCAGCAGAGAGGGGACAGGGGCTAAAGCACTTACACTGTGCAGACTCAGTTCCACCCTCAGCACCACATAGGGTCTCCCGGGCACAGCCAGGAGTGATCCCTGAGCACAAAGCCAGGAATCAACCCTGAATCCTTCGAGGAATGATCCCTAAGCCAGGAGTAAGCCAGCCAGTAAGTACAGCCAGGTGTGTGTTCAAACAAAACAAAAAGGAGTAAGTACAGCCAGGTGTGTGTTCAAACAAACAAAAACAAACAAACCAAAGAAAGCCTTGACAGAATCATAAAAGGTTGTGGCTGGAGGTTTGGCTCAGTGGTGGAGCACCTGTGCATACGTGTGTGTGCATGTATGTGTGTGTGCATGTGTGTGTATGTGTGCATGTACGTGTGTGCCTGTGCGTGTGTGTGTGTGTGTGTGTGTGTGTCCCTGGGTTCCATCCCCAGCACCATAAGAGGAAATGTAAAAGGCCCACACTATTTCCTCAAGCAAAAGGTCGCTTCTGAGGGACTCTGGTTTGCGTGACCCGAGAGATGCTGAGATGTCGCAGGGTGTAGAGGGCCAGCGAGTTGTGGACTTCCTTCCTCCCCATCTCAGAGAACAAAACCAGGGACCTGAGAGCACCAGTCTTCTCCGAGGCTACCCAGCTGTGTGCCTGGCTCTTTTCTGTGGGTGGTGCCCGGCTGTGGGTGGTGCCCAGGACCAATCTGTCTCCTGCTTCTTGGTGACCCACAGGTGAAATTGCCGGGGCGGGTGCCTCCAGCATCATGTCTGCCCTGGCGGACAAGGCCGTGGTGAAGAAGGAGCTGCTGTACGACGTGGCTGGCCGAGACGTGTACCGGGTCAATAATAAGCATGACCACAAGTACCCGCCGCTGCCTCCCAGCAAGATCGTCCAGAGCGCGGAGGAGCTGGTGGGCCAGGAGGTACTTTACAAGCTGACCAGCGAGAACTGCGAGCACTTCGTGAATGAGCTGCGCTACGGGGTGGCCCGCAGCGACCAGGTGCGTCCCTAGTCTGTGTCCCAGCAGTAGCCACGGTGACTGTACAGCGGGGGTGGGGGGTGGGGGGGTGGGAGGGTGTCAGAGTGGGCAGGGCTGGGAGATATGGACAAACAAAGAGTCAGTGTCCCCCCTCCAGGAGGTCACAATTGGGTGGGGACTGGGGTGGGAGGTGCGGGGGAGACCAACACTCTGCACTGCAATGCGGAGAGGAGGCGAAGGTTGAGAGGGACTCACTGCCGGGATGTCAGCCCCCGTGCCTGAGTCCTGCCTGGCTCTGAGACACACCCATGCGATAGCCCAAGAAGCAAGCTTTTTTTATTTTTATTTTTATTTTATTATTATTTTTTTGCTTTTTGGGTCACACCCACCCAGCGATGCTCAGGGGTTACTCTTGGCTCATGCACTCAGAATTGCTCCTGGCAGTGCTCAGGGGACCATATGGGATGCTGGGAATCGAACCTGTGTCGGCCATGTTGGCTGTGTGCAAGGCAAACGCCCTATCCATTGTGCTGTCACTCCAGCCCCTATTTTTATTTTTTTGAGATTACACCCAGCGATGCACAGGGGTTACTTCTGGCTCATGCACTCAGGAAATACTCCTGATGGTGCTTGGGGGACTATATGGGATGCTGGAATTGAACCCGGGTCAACCATGTGCAAGGCAAACACCCTACCCGCTGTGCTATATCATTCTAGCCCCAAGAGGCAAGCTTTATCACCCCCACCTTATAGATGGGGAAACTGAGGCTTTTAATGCCTTAAGCCCCATGTCTATTGTCCCTGATTTCTTCACACAAACCTGTGGTGAGTCTCTGCCAGGCCTCACATTTGTCTTTTCCTGGACAGCACCTGCATCTGTGCTGAGAAGTAGCAGATGTGAGATTTGGAGCCCAGACTTGGCTTCACAGACTTAGAAAACGCAGTCCCAGGACTGAAGGGATAGAACATGGGGGAGAGAGATTTTTTGTATGTGGCATCCCATATGATCCCCTGAGCACTGCCAGGAATGATTCCTGAGTTCAGGGCCAGAAGTAACCCCTGAGCATTGCTAGGTATGGCCTCAAAACCATAAATAAATAAATAAATAAATAAATACTTTTTTTTTAAAAAAGAGAAAAGTAGGGACTGGAGCAATAGCACAGTGGGTAGGGCATTTGCCTTGCACACGGCCAACCCAGGTTCGATTCCCAGCATTCCATATGGTCCCCTGAGCACCACCAGGGGTAATTCCTGAGTGCAGAGCCAGGAGTAACCCCTGTGCATCGCCAGGTGTGACCCAAAAAGCACACACACACAAAAAAGAGAAAAGTAAAGAAAAAAAAAGTGAAGTGTCCCACCCCTGCTCCCCCTACCCTTGCCAAAGGTGCTGCTGTCTCCGTGCTTAATAGACCACAAGTGATCAGTTTTGTACATTTACTCAAGTTGATCTTGGCCCTGGCCACTCCCCTCTCCATTTTTTAAATCTCCTTTTCTTTTTCTTCTTCTTTTTTTTAAATGTAGGGGTGCTGCTATTTATTCAGTCATTGATTAAGCTGACTAAAGTAGGCATGAACTCCACATTGTTGTTTTAAAATTTTTTACTTGAATATCTGTGCGATAGACCATTGCAAAGCTGTTCATAACTGGGTTTCAGTCATACAATGATCCAGCACTCATTCCTCCACCAGTGTACATTTCCAACCACCAATGTCCCTTGTTTCCCTCCCAACATCCCTTAACACCCCCACCCCCCATCTCCAGCCTCCCTCTATGGGTGGTACTTTCCTTCTTACTCTCTCTCTCCTTTTCTTTTTGTGCATTATGGTTTGCAAGAAAGGTGCTAAGAGGTCATGGTGTTTGTTCAGGGCATTCAGTATTTTTATCGGGACAGTAAGGCTGGAGTAGCATTTTAACTGGGTGCAGGTTTGGGGTGTGGGTGTGACTTCTGAGGCTTCCAGAAGTACAGGGAGGTGAGGGTAGGCAGTCCATCCCGACCCCGAGAAAGCCTGGAGATTTCAGTCATAAAACCACGTACCAGAATTTTCAGCAGATTATGTCTTGGTGGTGTTTTTCCTGAGATGGTGGAATCAGGCCAGGGTATGGTGGTGATTTTGGCTTATAGAAGCAAGCGTCTTCCAGGGTCTCTGCTTGGGTGCTTGAGTGGGCACCAGGCTGACCCGCCCCCCTCCAATTTACCCTGGTTTATTCAGCCTTTCAAGGAACCAAGATTAACTGTGGCTTTTTATCTCTTTCGAGGTTTTGAATTTCTTTTCCTAACTTCCTATTCTTGCCCATTTTTTCTCTTTCTTTTCTGTACCTCTGACACTCCTTCCTTCCTTCCTTCCTTCCTTCCTTCCTTCCTTTCCTTCCTCCTTCCTTCCCTCCTTCTTTCCTTCCTTCCTTTATTCCCTCCATCCATATTGAAGCTGATTAATATGGGCTGGAGCGATAGCACAGTGGGTAGGGCGTTTGCCTTGCACTTGGCCTACCTGGGTTTGATTCCTCCACCCTTCTCAGAGAGCCCGGCTAGCTACTGAGAGTATCTCCCCTGCACGACAAAGCCTGGCAAGCTACCCGTGACACATTCGATATGCCTAACACAGTAACAAAGAAGTCTCACAATGGAGATGTTACTGGGCCTGCTTGAGCAAATCGATGAACAATGGGAGAACAGTGCTACAGGTGCTAATATGGGACCAGAAAAATAATGTAGAAGTTCATGTCTTAATGTCACTCATCTGGTTTGCTCCTCAGTATTGCATGGTTTCCCGAGCATTGCTAGGTCCTGCTCTGCAGTCCCCCAAACCAGGTGTGGCCCAGGTAATCCCTGGCACCTTGGGGCCTGCCCGAGTAGCACTGCATCCTTGGGCCTTGCATTGAACTGCCAGCCTGGTTGGCCAAGAATCACCTGGAGTGTCCCTAGAGTCCCCTGCAGCTCCATGCAGAAGGGCTCCCCCTTAAAAAGGTGATCAATAGAAATTTGTGGAAATTGTTATATCCCACCATGGGGAAATTAAGTCCTTATCGGAGAGTTTACTAAGCTGTTATTGCAAGACTTCTGTATTAGTGTTTTTGTTAGTGAAGATTGGTTCTGTGTTACACCCCATCCAATCTGGGGTGCTACAATGGGATGTCAGTGTTATAGAATTTAGAAATGCTGTGCAGCCGCAAATGCAGCCATGTACTCCAGAAAATTCAGAATATTTAACCGGGCAGTCCAGCCAGAGGTATGGCAATGACTTTGGGGTATGGGAGGAGCTGCCAGGGCTTGACATGGTGGGACCTGTCCTATCCGTCTCCCAAGATCGCCTGGAGGTCTCAGCTGAGAATATTTTTTTCTTTTTGGGTCACACCCGGTGATGCACAGGGGTTAGTCCTGGCTCTGAGCTCAGGAATTACTCCTAGCGGTGCTCAGGGGACCATATGGGATGCTGGGGATTGAACCCGGGTCAGCCACGTGCATGGCAAACACTCTCCCCGCTGTGCCACAGCTCCAGCCCCTCAGCTGAGAAATTTCTGTGGCTAGTTTATCTCTTTACAAGTCTCTGGAACTAGGCCAGTATATGAACTTACATCCCATTCACTCTTTTAATAAACAATAACTCAGATCTTCTCACAAAATTAAATCATGCAAATTGGATAATTGGATCCTTCCTCCTCTGCCCTGAAGCTTCATACCTACCGCCTCTCCTGCCTCATCCATCTGAACAGAAAAACTGGGCTAACGTGGTGACAGAAGAGCACAAGCAGTCCCACGAACCCCCGTTCACTGCAAATGAAACCAGAATATTCCAGAAGACAAAGAGAGGTGTCACTGACACTGTTCCTAAGGAGCCCTCTTTCATTTCTTGGTTTAAGATTAGGGTTTCTCAGTCTCAGGCACAATAAGGTTTGGGATCATTTACAATGTAAAAAGGGGTGATCAGGCTGACAGAACAGATTCCTAATTGTGCCCACCATGCCTTACTGAGCCGTTAACTTCCAGAAAAATCTCCTGATCAGCAAACTCAGTTTCCAGTTAGACAGTGCTTCTTCTGAGAGCTGGACTGTAATAATGTAATAATGCTTCCCTTTCTTTTCTCCATTAATAGCTATTTAAATTAAAATCTAATGAGCTGTAAGAAATGTCATTTATATGCGGTTGGTGCCATAGCACAACAGGCAGGGCACTTGGCCTTGCACATGGCTGACCTGGGTTTGATCCCAAGCACACATATGGTCCCCTCAGTCCACCAGGAGACTTCTGAGCACAGAGCCAAGAGTAAGTCTTGAGCAGCACTGGGTGTGGCAAACAAAAGAAACAAATGTAATTTATAAGCAGTACTAGCTTTTGCAGTTCTTTTTTTTTATTATTATTTTGGTGTTTTTTTGGGTCATACCCAGCGATGCTCCAGGGTTACCTCTGGCTCTGCATTCAGGAATTACCTGACCATAAGGGATGCTGGGGCTTGAACCCAGGTCGACTGTGTGTGCAAGGCAAACACCTTAACCACTGTACTATCCCTCTGGTCCCCACAGCTTTTGCGATTCTGTCCTCTCATTTTTCCCCCATGCCTCCTTTAAAGTTGGCGCCAGCACATCCCACCAATGGCTCACACTCGAACGTGGTTTATTTAACACAAATTACAGTGCCAGAGTCAACACACCAAACAAAGGCCCCAGGAAAACTCATTTGGAATAAGACTTGGGTTTGTGCTTCCTTGTTTGCAAATCTAAGATCTCCAGCCATTATTTTATTTGAGTTTTATCAGCTTTTACCCCTTTGATAACAGGGTGACAAGCCTACATTCTTTTTATGTGTTTTGTTTTTGAGTCACACCCAATGGTGCTCAGGGCTTACTGCTGATTCTGCTCTCAGGAATCACTTCTGGCAGTGTCAGGGGACCCTATAGGATGGTGGGGATCCAACCTGGGTCGGTTTCATGCAAGGCAAGTGCCCAACCCGCTGTACTATGGTTCTGGCCCCTGCATTCTTGATTCACCCTGTGCCTTGCAGGTTATTGGGCGGTACCTGTGACCTTTGTCCACTCAATGCCAGGAGCGCTCACCCAGTGCTAGGTATAGAGATGGGAAAATTTCCCTGAGGCCAAACTCACCCCAGATGAGAACAACTAGCCAAGGGGCCACAACCAGCATAACACCTGTCGTGGTCAAATGAAAATGGAATTTCCACGTGTGACTCAGCTCACTGAAGGTGCTGGCTGCAGAGCCCAGAAGGTGCTCGCATGTTCTTCCTTGAGGATGCTGTCAAAGCAGCAGCAAGAGCTCTGCTTTGTCCTTAGTGGAGTGAACATTTCACATGCTAACATGGAAGCTTACCATGTTCACATCCAACATATTGCTGTGCCATCTGACATTATTAACAAAGCTGCCAGATGGTGAGAAACACGGGTCGCACTGTTGGCACCAATGTGTTACTCGGCACAGGGGTCATGGCATAAGACTAGGGGGTCAGTCAGGAAGACAGCAGAGTCCTGGGAAGACAATTAGACAGGAAGGGGGCCACAGCTGGAAAAACTATTAACTGCTACACATATGTACGTGTGTGTCCTCTTAGACCAAAGACCCATCTCTGGAGAAAGCCACGATATCTGGATGGCCATCAATTGCTCTGTGATATCTGCGTGTCTGTCTGAGTAATACTAGGCATGGCTGCCTGAGTAATAATAGTAGCAACATTTTCTTTTGGTTGTTTTCTCAGATGCTCTTGTTTATTTATTGATTCTGAGCAATGCCTTGTGGTCTTAAACAACGAGATAGACTCATTCATCATTTTCTTGCCAAAACCACATTTTATTTTATTATTTTATTTATTTATTTATTAAAAAATTTTTTTAATAGTGAGACATCATGAGGTACAGTTGCACACTTACACATTTTTGTGCTTGGGTTTCAATTATACAATGATCAAACACCCATCCCTCCACCAGTGCCCATTTCCTACCACCATGGATCCCAGTATCCCTCCCACCCCCCAACCCCCCATCCCACCTTGTCTCTATGGCAGGGCATTCCCCTCTGTTCTCTCTCTCCTTTTGGGTGTTGTGCAAAACCACATTTTAGAGACATGGGGTTGATATTTGAAGTTAGCAGATGCAATCTAGTTTGGATTTCCAGGGCTGAAGCAATAGATAGAACAGCAGAGAAGAGTTTGCCTTGCACACAACCAATCTGGGTATAATCCTCAGCACCCCCAAGGGTCCTCAGAGTCCCTCCAGGAGTGATCCTTGAGCACAGAGTCAGGTGTAAGCTCTGAGCACCACTGCGTGTGGCCCCCAAAGCAAAACCAAAACAAAAAAAGTTTTGATTTAGGTTCCTGGAGATTTCTGTACTTGTCTTTCTTTGCCTTTGCTTCTTTCTGCAGCACTTTGAAACTTTCATTTTTCAAGTAACACACGTACAATGGGAAAAGCCAAGTAGCCCTCAGAGACGTCTGCCCTGGCTGTGCCTCTCCTACCCTCGTCATTCCTGTCCCTGTCTTGAGGGGCAGCCATTTTTCTATTTGGAGTAATTTACTTTGGCATTCACTTATTTCCAATTCTCTTCCTTTGTTTTGTTTTTGGGTCATACTCGGCAATGCGCAGGGGTTATTTCTGGCTCTGCACTCAGGAATTACTCCTGGTGGTGCTCATGGGACCATTTGAGATGCCAGATCAGTTTTTTTTTTTTTTTTGGTCACACCCAGCAATGCACAAGGGTTAGTCCTGACTTTGCACTCAGGAATTACTCCTTGACAGTGCTTGAGGGACCATATGGGATGCTGAGAATTGAACCTGGGTCGGCCACATGCAAGGCAAATGTCCTACCCGCTGTACTATCATTCCAGCCCCCCAGATCAGTCTTGTGCAAGGCAAACGACTTACTCACTATGCTATCACTCCGACCCTTATTTCTTAATTTCTAAACAATAATAAGTGTACACCACTGATTTATCATTAGAAAACTTCAGCTATGTTCCTTGGCTTCTTGTTATAGTCAGTGGAGATTAAATTACTGAATGCTCCCTCCCAGCCATTCTCTCAGCAGAGTCTCATGGTACATGTTTAGGTCTCTCTGCTAATGCTGAGTTTTACTCACGAAGAGATATGATGATGTACTCCTTCCCTTTTCTGGGGGTGATAGGATTGACGAGTTTTTTTTCTACACCCTGAGATGCTCAGGGGTTACTCCTGGATCTGCACTCAGGAACTACTCCTGGTTGTACTCGGGGACCATATGGGGTTCCAGGGATCGAACCTGGGTCAGCCAGGTGCAAGGCAAACACCCTACCCATTGTTCTAACCTGGGCCCCCTTTATTTATTTTGGAAAGGAAACTGTGGTTCTTTTGACCTGGCCTGGGTCCTGGAAGGACTGTTTGCTCTGAAACCCTCAGTACTTCTTATCTCTTGTTTCCACTTGACTGGTCAAAGTTTCCTAGTTAGAGTTCAAGGGTTTGAGCAGAAACACCCTTCTGCTCATTCCAGCCACCCAGTCCTTTTTCTCTCTGGGAGCCCCTCAAGTTTCACTCTGCTTAGGAGTTTGTTTTGCTGTCCTTTGTCAGTGTGGTTTGTGCTAGTTTTCACATTCCACATGAGTGAAATATGTCATGGTCTTTCCCTTTCTGACTTCAGCATAATCACCTGAGTTCACCCATTTTGTCCCATTTCACCTTTTCTTCATGGCAGAATAAGCAGTGTACTACCACTTACTCTCACTTTTGCAATGCCTTTTCTCCCTTAGTACAAGAATACCAGCCAGTTGTCCTTAATAATTAAAATGCTTCATGACTAATCATAGTTGAGTCATCTGAGAATATGTACGCAGCACCTGGCAGGACCGGGCACTGGGATCAGGTTGATGGAGGATGGGTGTGGTCTGGGCACTCCTGGGACCCACTGTGCCTTGCGTATTTATTTATTCAACAGCAACTCCTCTGGACTTCAGGCTTGACTCAAGAGCTCCTCCCCAATGACCCAAAGCCTTCCAACTAGGCTGACTTCTTCCCTCTGTCCTTCCCAGAGCCCCATGATGGAGATTTAAATGCTTTAAATAGCCACAGGGCCAACTGAGCTTCCTCCTTTTCAATCCCGTGTGTATTTCTGGCCAGCTGGCTCTGTCTCTGCTGCTTTCTCCATCCAATCCTCTCCCTGTGCATTTCCCAGCCAATATCTGTTGACTTCTTGAGCTTTTCCAGGCTAAGGGGCATGTGAATCTTCTCGAGCTCAATGTTCCTGTGGAAGGCACAGCCAGTTCTGGAATTCCACCCTCGGAGTCTGATGCGTTTTCTCTCTCTCTCTCTCTCCCCCAGGTCAGAGATGTCATCATGGCTGCTGGCATTGCAGGGGTGGGCTTGGCAGCCGTGGGCCTCATCGGAGTCATGTTCTCAAGAAACAAGCGGCAAAAGCAATAAGTGGAAGAGACTGGCCCATCAGCCACGACTTTATCTATGAAGGGGAATTGGATTGGCTAGAGGGTTTGCTTGGTGGGTGAATTCTATTTTATAATAAGGCTTATTTTCACAGAATAAAAATAAAGCCCAAAAGTGAGGGCTTGACTGGGGTGTAGCAGCAAGACCTGCCTGGTGTGAAGTTTGTGGAGGTCACAGCAGGGCCCCCTATCTGTCCCTGAGAGTCTGCACGCTGGACTTGGCAGCAAAGGGGCCCAGCTCCTGTTATTATCTCAAGTGTGGGAGTTTCTGGCTGTGCGGGTGACCTCTGGGATGCCAGGGAGACTGGTGTGATTGACACACAAGAGCGGCCAGCCAGGACCCGTGCTGGAGAACTAGCCCCCGATGGTCTGGCCTGTATGTTGATCAAAGCCAACAAAACCAACGCCATATGATCCTAGAACCTACTCTTGCCTATTTGGGGAAACCTCCCTCACCTCTCCGTATTTTTCCTTTGCCTCGCAGCTCCCCCCTTTCCCCTCCAGCTCTCCTGCTGCTTAACCACCCAAACTTGTCATAAGGCCTGGGCCCCCACCTCCAAATATCCATTCATTCATCCCCATCACATCACTTCCCCAAGGTGGAATCTGATTGGCTCCCAGTCATCACATGCACTCCGCCTATGGAATGGGTCAGGTGACCCGACAGAGCCAATCAGCCAATCAACTCTGTGAGCCGGAGACCGGGGTGTGTGTGTGTGTGTGTGTGTGTGTGTGTGTGTGTGTGTGTGTGTGTGTGACATGCTACCAGGCTTCCGCTGACCGGCGTGGGTGGGCTTGTGGCTGGTCCTCTTGCTGCTGATGTCTTTGCTGCCAACTTTCTTGGGAGGGCTGGGGAGCCAACTGGGAGGTTTCCTGGCAGGTCTCTTGAGATCTGTCGCTGCAGCTGCCGCTGGGCTTGGCAGACTTTCCAAAGGACTGTTTCTGGGAAGGGCTGCCCAGATATCCTCTCCTGGAGCCAAGTGCCCTTCCCTCCACAGGGCAAAGCTTCTCCTCCATCTGCGTGTGAACGTTTTCTCCCTCGGCCCCTGTCGTCTGGGGACCATCTGTCTGTTGGAATCCTGGATGCCACGGAACAAATGACTCCATGCCAGCTCCCTCCTGCTTGGCTCCAGGATAAACGTGGCACCACCCACACTCCGGTGGCATTAAGATTAGTTTCCTCCCCGGACACTGCCCTTTGGTTTTGCCTCGGGTCTACTGATATGACATCCCGGGCCAGGTCCCAGCTGCCCAGACGCCAAAAGGCGGGTGTCTCACTCTCACGTGGCATAAGGTGAGAGAATGCATGGAGAGCAAGTCTCCAACTAATGCTGGCTGAAAGGGAATGCAGAAAAACAAGTGCAAGAGAGCAAGACAAAACCTTCTAGTTATTTAAGAAAAAGAAAAGAAAAAGGAAATTTGGGCGGGAGAAATAGGAGTTAAGACATTTGCCCTGTTGTAATCTTGGCACCCCTGAGCACAAAGGTGGGGGGGTTATGGATTGTAGAAATAACCTGTAAGATGGAAGAATGAATTCCAAATCACCACAAATAGAATTGCATGAACTGTGCCAAATAAAAGGCATTATATGGATTAAAAATAAGGAACTGAAACGATAGTACAGCCTATGGGCACCTGCCTAACACTGCAGCTAGCCTGGGTTCGATCCTGGGCACCCCATATGCTCCCCCAAGCTGCCCAGGAGGCAATTTTGAATGCAGAGCCAGGAGTAATTCCTGAGCACAGACCCATGTGGCCCAAAAATAAAAGTAAATTTAAAAAAGGACTGCCAACAAAAAAGGTTAAAGAGAAAAGAATGAACTTTTTTTTTTTTTAATTACAATGAGTCTAATGGTCTTTACAAACATTGCAGTCAAGGAGAAAAAGCAAGGCTGTGTGAAAATTGCTTTGAGTTTGAAAAATATGTCAGATAAAACAGCTACATTTGAAAAACAGTTATAAGAGCAACTGAGATCATTGGGGTAATTTGAATATGGACTGGATATTAAGAATTAGGCTTATGTAAACACTGATCTTAATTTTAAGAAAGTGCAGATAAAGAGGACCCTACGGTAATTCTTTAAACTAGAGGGCTTAAACTAGAGTATATGAGTGGCTGTTGCACTAACCTTTCTAGTATGTTCTGGAGGTGGAATATTATTTTTTTCTTTTTGGGTCACACCTGGCGATGCACAGGGGTTATTCCTGGCTCTGCATTCAAGAGTTACTCCTGGCAGTGCTCAGGGGACCATATGGGATGCTGGGAATGGAACCCAAGTCGGCCGTGTGCAAGGCAAACGCCCTACCCGCTGTACTATCTCTCCAGCCCCTGGAGGTGGAATATTTTACATTAGTAAACATTTTTTTTTCTGCAATAAAAATGTTACCAAAAAAATCCCAAAAAATGTTACATTGTTACTGCAGTGGATTATATAATGATTTATAAAAAATAGGACAAAAATACACATCAGGCAAGTAGGAACTAAAAATTTCTAAAACTATGCTTGGAGCAAGAGAGAGAGAGAGAGAGAGAGAGAGAGAGAGAGAGAGAGAGAGAGAGGGCAGGGGCTCAAAGGGCAAAAGTACAGGCTTTGCATGTGGGAGGCCCAGTTTGATGTTTGACACTGCAGGGTCCTCTGAGTAATGCTGGAGTGAGCCCTGAGAATATCCGGGTGGTGCCTCCGGTAAAAGCTATATCAACAAACGCTGGTGTGACTACATTTACATTAGAAAATATTAGGCAAAAAAAGAAAAAGAATAAAAAACGTAAACACAGAAAAAAAAAAGAAAATATTAGGCAAAGATTACACTAGATAGAGGATGGAAATGTGGCATAATGATACATATATTTAGTTTAGTCCCTGGCTCCTGGGTCAGAGCTACGAACCCCCTAAAAATGTCCTGGATGATAAGAGTTTTATGATTCACAATGAGGCCCTTTGATTGCACTGGACAATGTGCTGATGGGCAACTTTGGGTGGGGACCCTAGATAACCTTTTGATGGCCTTGGTCACGAGGAAGTGTTCAGCCCCATGGCCTGGGAATGCATGTGAGGGGCCACAATCTGCTGTATGAGACTCTGACCGAGGAGATCTGGTGGGTGGCTAGGTTGGGAGCAGGTGGAGGTGCTGAGCTCGCGGCTGACCCTGAGAGGCTGGGGACACTCCTGTCCCCTTGGTCCTACACAGCTGTTGCCTGCGGGGTCCCTGAGCTGTGCACAGGCCAGATACTGTCTGTCAGGTGTAGGTCCTCTGAGCTGTGCGGGCTGTGCTGTCGGGTCACAGATGCTTAGATGGGTGCGGGGCCCTCTGATGTGCGGCCCTGTTGGCGTCTGATGTGGGAAGGGGCAGTTCCGTGAGAGCAAGCCCTTCGCTGAGGGCTCAGCCTCACTCTGGGCAATTGGGGTTAGACTTGAATCAGCGTGAGAGTCAGAGATTGGCGATTGGGGCTGGAAAACACTCCAAAAAGTTTCTGGTAAAAATAAACTTAAGACAAGTCATAACCTTGCCCCGGGCCCCCGCGCCAGGCTGTTTCATTCTTGGTGCCCTGGAGGGGAGCGGGTGAGGTCCCTCCCCACCCCAAGGGATCCTGCCACGGCAGCCAAAAACCTCCAGAACTCAACCATCACCATGCTCACAGCTGCTCTCCAAATGCTTGGGGGCAGGGGAGCCTCACTCATGAATGAACCTATTCCTAGACATCTCATACCCCATACCACTCATACTCCAAGAGTAGCGCACCGCATTTGAGGGGGTTTAAAGTAGAAGGCAACCAGGGCCGGAGCGATAGCATAGCGGGTAGGGCATTTTCCTTGCATGCGGCCGACCTGGGTTCGAATCCCAGCATCCCATATGGCCCGCTGAGCACCGCCAGGAGTAATCCCTGAGTGCAGAGCCAGGAGTAACTCCTGAGCATCGCTGGGTGTGACCCAAAAACCAAAAATAAATAAATAAAGTAGAAGGCAACCAATTTTAGAGGGAAATATATTTTTACAAATAATATATATATGTGTGTGTGCGTGTGTGTTTGTGTGTGTGTGTTTGTGTGCACAAGGCTCACTCTTTAACAACATGTTAGTCATCTCATAAAGGACTTAATGGCCTCTGGGTGAAATACAACAATCTTCACACGCTTTCCTCTAAGGAAGCTTTTTTGAAGCATATTCAGCAGTTTATTCATAACAAACAATACAAAATAAATTATTTCAGTTCTGCTTTGGGGCAGGAGTTGGGGTTTGGGATGGAAACATTCAAAATATAGGGGCGGGAAGGCATAACGGTGGTGAGATTGGTGTTTGAATATTAAATGTAATCAAATATTGTGAACTACTTTCAGTCACAGTCACGGTCCTCCTGTTGTTCACCAATTTGGCTCGAGTGGGCCCAGTAACGTCTCCATTGTGAGACTTGTTGTTACTGTGTTTGGCATATTGAATATGTCATGGGTAGCTTGCCAGGCTTTGCCGTGCGGGAGAGATACTCTCGGTAGCTTGCCGGGCTCTCTGAGAGGGGCGGAGGAATCAAACCTGACTCAGCCGGGCTGGCTGCGTGCAAGGCAAACGCCCTACTGCTGTGCTATCGCTCCAGCCCATGAACTACTTTATAAAAATAAAATAAAATAATTAAAAAAATAAACTCAATAGGAAAATAGCATTCTAATATAGCCTATAATTACTCCTAAGAAAAGTCTCAAAACAGTCTTGGAGTATAGTTCAAGTGGTAGAGCACAGGTTTCACACATATGAAGTGCTGGGTTTCATTCCCAACACTGAATGTTCCCCCTGAAACACCACTAGATGTAGCTGTAGAAGTCCCGACAAATGAACCAACTTAATTAAATGAGAAATTTATAACAAAAAGATAGCTGGAAAAATCCTTTCCTTTTAGAATATTTAGAACACACTCTTAGTAAATTAGAAAACCCAGACTTAAGGCTTGGAGGCCAGCCACACATGCTAGGGGAAAAGGAAGCTCAGATAGAGAAGGGAGCACCAAATAAAGGGTGTTGGAAAGATCCTCCCAGGATGGGAGAAGCATGCTGAAAGTAGACTATGGACCGAACATGATTGCCACTCAATGCCTCTTTTGAAAACCACAACACCCAAAAGGAGAGAGAGAACAAAAGGGAATGCCCTGCCACAGAG